TTTAGAGCACTTGAGAGATTCCCACAGGATAAGGTGCTAGTAAATTAGGTAGCTTAAAGCTCCCAAGCTGATGCAATTACACAACTGCAATGTGCTTAAAACAAATCAATAATAGATCACGAAGCCCAATCTGATAAACAACTTAGGGCAGCCAATAATCAGGTAAAGTCCAATTAAGGTGAAAAAGAAGACGATTAAGCAGACAATGAACTACTAATTCATGTTTTTTCTTGAGTTACTTCCCAATAGCAACAGATAAACGATACAGAATGTAGAGGCATATAGAGGGAACTTCAAACCGATGACAGCGATGCATAGGGAAAAGAAATCTCTAGAAATGCATAACAGCTCAGCAAAAGGAAGGGTTGCTACAGAAAGGCAGAGGAATCTCTAGAAATGCATTATAGATTACTAGAAAAATAGCCATGGAATCTTCAAGTCTATATTGCATGCACAAACAAAGTCCTCATCAAGAAATTAAAACACAAATGTGCGGCACCTTTTTCACAGAAGAGAAAAACCAAATTGAGAAAGAACAGACACCTTTGAGATTGTAAGAGCTGGGCTCCACTGTTCCTTCAAAATATCAAGGCAAATGCTTCCATTACTGTTAATATTCGGGTGAAAAACCTTTGTCCTGAAAGCCACCTGCAAAAGTAATCCAAAACAATCAAAACCACTGAAATCCTTAAGCAATAACAATATCCATGTACAACAACATCCCACAAGTCAACGGGATGGTCTTCGAGAAACAAATAAAAGCAACTACAGCATTAACTTTTCATTTGCAACTTCATTATGGTTGGAAAGATCAAGAGTTTTTGCAAGGAACAGATAATGGAGAACACCATATACAATGTTGTCAAAACAGTATGAAGAATATGGGAATTCCTCGAAACCCACAAGGAAAACTTGCGTTACTGCTGCTATGTGTATGCACTAAACTTGTGTGAACAAAAATTTAACAACTGAAAAATTCTTCTTTGAGCTTAGTTATGTGGGAAAAAATGAATATAATAAACATGGTAAAGACAACAATTCTGCAAGTTTAAGAAGGTATGATACATTAGCGATAAAATATCTGGTATCCACAAATGCCTATAGCATTAGCCTATATACGAAAACAATAAGGGCTGCATATCTGATGAATCTTCATCACAGGGAGCAAGATATCCGAGAAAATTTTTGCAGTTCCTGAAAAAACCCTTGTTCCACTCAATAAACCATCATAAATACATAAAAAACAGACAAGCTCTTCAGGTACCTTAGGTGGTTTAAATGGGTAATCTGGCGGAAAATGAATGGTAACAAGAAACACTCCACCAGCGTAAGGACTCTCTGGTGGACCCATTATGGTCGCTTGCCAATGAAACATATCTTCAGCAACTGGGCCTAGAGAAACACAAAAAACCTATATTGAAGATAAAAGAACAAACTTGTACACAAAACATAAATACCAAAGGGACCATATGTATTAGGTGTTTTTCGGGGTGCTTTTCAAGAAGTTTACTGTGACACCATATATCAAAAACTTTACTGTAGCATTGTATATTGAGGTGTTTTTAAAATTTTAAATTTTTTGGAACGTTTTTAAAAAATTTAAAGATTATCTCTCCCTCCTCCTCCCCCTTCATAACCACCCCCAGCCACCTGCTACCCCCCTCGTTCCCCCTTCTCTCCTCCCTCCCAGCACCACCTCCCTCTCCCCCTCCCCTCTTCCTATCTTCACCCCCCTCTCCAACCCTCCTCTCCACCCCTCCCACATCCTCTCCCCCCTCCCCCCATCCCCTATCCTCCTCCCTGGCGACCAGAATCAGCACGTTATCCATAACAACAATCAGCAGCAACCTTTTCTTTTTCTCAGTTGAATTTCTTTTCCTTCACCTTTGGAAAGGGGGTGGGGGAGGTATACACATTGGGGCAAAACATTTGACTTCTACATCATACTGCATATATTTAAAATCACATTACATATGGCAAATCTTTCCGACGGCACAAAACTGTAGCTACAGATATGCTTCCTCCCAGACCCCCAACATATATCATAAGAATCAAATTTCAAGCACTTACACGATGCAAACATGCATTAGCTACAAATTTCAAAGCTTGATCTCGATGGGATGCTTCATAGTCTCTAATTAAATTAAACTGGATTTATGTTCATATCAGTAGGTTCTCTAAACTGACGAAGGAATGCGTGCCCGCTTCGAACCACAGGCCATGTCTGTGTCTCTCATGTACACACACTTTCTATGAGGGTATAAGCATCAAGAAAAATGAGGGATATTTGATAGCAGAAGCAGGATAGAAAAAATGTCCAGTCCGACTCTTTAGAATATCCAGCTATTAAGAACAAAGGCCCTAAACAGTAAAGGAAGAATCTTTTAAACAAACAGGGCGCCAGAAAAATCCAATCTTTTTCCTAAAATTAAAACAGAAAGATTAATGACAAGGAAAAAAGGGGACGAACGGAGGGCGATCTAACCAGCGCTGCAAGAGGTAGGAGGATCCTTCTGGAGATCCTTGAGCTCTTTCAAGATCCGCTTGGAAGCCATCACTCAGCAAAAACCCTACCTCTCCCTCAAAAAATTAAACCCTAGATCAACCACCACAATCAAAAATACATAGCATAAACAAAAAGATTTACAAGCTCACACACACCGTAACAAACAAAATCACAAAAGAAAAACTTATGGTGATTGATTGGAGATATACTTACAGAGAGAAGATCCTCTCCTTTGGCCCTTCGGGAAATGGGACGAGAGAGAATCTGGAAGGGGAGGATTTTTCAATGTAAAAGAAACTGGAGTTTTTATAGATAGACTATACACGCCACTCCACCCACCCCACTCCTAGCCCCGCACTACACACTTCTCCAATCCCCCAAAAAAAAACAAAAAAAAAAAAGGAGAGGAAAAAGAGACCATTTTCATCTATTATGCTTTTGCTCACGCGATTGCTAGCTCTCAGCTAGCTGCCTGGTCCCACTTCTACATCTTTTCTGTTTGGGTTAATATCAACATACGCCCCAAAGTATCTCTAATTTTCGTTTTTTTTTTGCCATCTTAAACTATCATCAATTGTGGTACTAAATTTGTATGTTATACTTATCAACCACAAGCAAGTTATCAACCACAAGCACGTTAGTCAAAAAACGCACAAGTTCAAAAATCTTTTCATTTTTTTTTTTTTTGTCATCACTGTGGGTATCCGGGTCTACACCCGACTAATCCCACAGCGCTCCAGCAGAGCGGCCCGACCGATGCTGAAGAAGATAACAACTGGGTTGCTGCCCGGGATCGAACTCAGGTGGAACTCACCTAAGGAGGCTACTTCCACCAGCAGACCAACCCAGCGCGGGCTCAAAAATCTTTTCATTTCAAAAAACGAAATGGATAAGTTAAGATTTCAAAAAATGAAATGGATAAGTTACTGTGCATCTTACTGTTTACAATTTTTATGTTGAATTTTTACTTACTAGCAACTAATTCAGTATAAATAATCATTGCATTATGCCCTTAATTTTAACTGATGTTTATAGTATAATACAACTATATGTTATTATTGAATTTAATTAAGGTACAAAATTTGAAAAGAAAATACAAGAATTTGGAACTTACATGGTAAAGGAAGCTGAAAGGAAAGTTGGTCAAATTTGCTTACAACTCATATATTTCCAAGGACATGAGGATTACCTTCAAAAGAAAAAGAGGCAACGAGGGGGGAAGAACCTTCATACATCAAGGAAATGTAGAACATATTATTAGTTTTAGGGGGAATTTTGTTATTCTTTTAATGGATGAAAAAAAAATTGCTTGTTTTTATCTATGAATTTACTCGCCTATCTTCAAATTTCCTTGAAATGAAAGGTTATATTAGTAATACAAACGAAAATCACATTTATCTATGAATTTATTGAACCTTTGAATTTTTTTAAAATCTTCCGTATCGTCATGTTCAAAATTCAAAATTTGAATCTGACATATAGGGATGGAAAAAGCATGGAGATGAGTGGAAGGATGATTTTTTTTTTTTAAAAAAAAAATCTATGAACTTATTGCCTGATATTTTAGATACATATAATTTTGCTACAATAGCTTTGGAAAGGATAAGAAGCAACATTAGGATGCCAACGGGGCGGGGTTGGGGTGAGGAATGGGACATTAGGGATGGCAACGGGGCGGGGGACCTCTTCCCCATCCCCCGCCCCGCTACCTACAAACTCCCCCCGCCCCGCCCCACCCCGCTTCCCCCGCGGGAGGCTAATAAAAGTTTGTTATATAATTTTGTTATGGTTAAATTTTAGCAAATAATCAAGTACTAAAATATCAATACATCATCAAATTATTATTCATTGTAATTTTACAATTGAAACTTATAAAAACAATCAAATAAAAATTATTTGAATGCAATCCAACATGATGAAATAAATATAACTAAACTAGTCAAGTTTTCACTTTTGGCACAAATACAATCACTAATTCATTATTGTGCTTGTGCTTTTTTTAAGAAAAAAATGTTATTGTATTAAGTGTAATTAGGGATTTAGTATAAATGTATTAGTAAATTTAGTATAACCAATTAATAATTTATATTAGTACACATATATAATTATTAGTATAATTAATAATATCAATTATATTATATATACTAATAGACATTGTGTAATACATATACCTAATAATATCATTATCATAAGTTTGTAACTAATTAAATTATATATTATATATATAATTATATACATATATATTTTATATATTTATTCTTTTAAAGAGGGTGGTGGGGCGGGAGATGGGGCGGAGGTACACTCCCCTGCCCCTGCCCCGTTTCTAAGCGGGTGGAATTTTCCCCAACCCCCTTCCCATTTGCCTCCCGCGGGGCGGGTAACCGCGGGCACCCACCCCCATTGCCATCCCTTGCTGCAACATCATCGATAATTAATACTCCACGATGCAAGGGAATGGTATTTGGTACTTCAAATAGACTAGATCTCCATCTAATTTTTTACTTTTTCAATTATTTGGTGTAGTAGGAATGTTTGCCTTGTACTTCAGAATCAAATATATAGTGATATTAGGATATTATTATTGACAAGACCTGTCTCCAGTTTTGGTTTTTTTTTTTTCCCTTTTAATATGCTACTAATACTTTTGACCAGCACACTCGACTTTAACTGATGTCCTTTTCCCTTTTATCGATTGTATTCCCTCATGACCTGTTCTGCGTCTGACTCCGACGCTCAGCTAGCGCCTGCTCAGTGTTCATGCCATTCCCCGACTCTCATCTTATGAAACAGGAAAAAAGCCATCAGTATTATGTAACTCTGCAAATATGTATACTTATCAAACATAAGCACGTCCCTTTTACTACCTGATGCTAATCAGCGACGTTATTAATTCTGTAATCAAGAACCAAAGTTTCTGACTCCTGTAGCTAATTTTTGCAGAAACATGATGGCTGCACGTAAACGAAGTACTAGTAAAAAAGATGGCATGTGAAGAGAGTGAATATGATTAACTGACGATCCCAAACTTCGATTGTACAACCAAAAATAAGAAAATCAAAATAGGTGCCAATGGCACAGATACTAACCGATGCACAACCTAATCCACCTCTACCTTAAACTGGGAATAGGTTAGTAAAGTCTCAGGGATAGTCGTCATTCACAGAACATTTTCAGCACGATGCAGAATGATGCATCATGTTGCAAAATCGAGTTACACGATTAGGCACTTATCTTCAGCTTGACAAATCCGTCTCGGATACCCCCACCGGTGGGGTTTGTGAAGAATTTCCAGTCTTCAGCTCGCCAGATGATCTATTTCGAAAAGCTGTTGGCCGGACATTCGCAATCATTTTAGCAACCTCTGACATTTTAGGTCTCTGATCCGGCATTCTCACCACGCATGCCATAGCTATCTGTAACATCTCCACCAGTTCCTCCTCTATGTTTGGATACCTTAATAGCTCCAGGTCAAACACCTCTGCTGTCCACTCTTCTCTAACTACTGAGTGAACCCAGCGGACCAGGTGTACAATCTCATCCCCACTGGTCGTATGGATAGGTGACTTGCCAGTGAGGAGCTCAAGTAACATCACGCCAAAGCTGTAGACATCAGAAGATTGGGTTGCTTTCCGAGTGTCCATCACTTCCGGGGCACGATAACCAGCAGCACGAGCGATTGATGGGGCCAACGAGCTCATCACTGTTGACAGACCAAGATCTGATACGCAGCCGTATTGCCGAGAGTTGAGAAAGATGTTGGAGGACTTGACATTGCCATGAACTAGCTTTCCACCATTCTCAATGTGGACTCGAGCAATGCCTCTTGCCGCACCAACGGCTATCCTTAGTCGGGTTTCCCAATCTAAAGGAGGCCTGTTTTCTCCTCTTTTTCCTGTAACATTACATTTGCCATTAAAATCAGTCCCCCAAGTCATCTTCCAATTGCATATTAGAGGCAATAGCAATGCAAACCAACAAAGTTCATGCATAGACTTGCTCGTATTTACCCAGTAGTGTAAAGATAAAACATAATATTCAACGACCTGTGATATAAATCAAGTTCAAAAGCAGTCTCAAAACTTGTTCAAGAGTGTAGCACACAAATAATTTGCAGCTCATAGCGCTTGCTGTACCTCATAGTCAATAGAATCGCGTCTAATTTTTTACAGAAAAACTGAAACACGGAAAGCCAGAACCACATTACAGTTTATATTGCATTCAGAAACAAAGGAGATTAATTCTCTGAAAGCTACAAGAAGAAAACATCAATTTATCTGCATTTTGTTGAATATTAACTAAATCAATTGGCTCAAACTCGAAAAATTATTGACAGTTTCTAGGATTATAAAGTTTGTCTTTACATGCACCAGACAATCTTCCTTGTTGAACAATAATCTCCCAAGTAGTGGTCCATCTAGGGGTATAGTCAAGCTAAAACCAGGCAACATTAGCGTAAAGGAACTAATGTCGAGTGGACACGTTAGCGTAATCTGAACAGTGAAGCTAATTTCAAACGGACAGTTAGCAATAAAAAGACTAAGAAACCAGCGATTGTGCTTGGCTTGAGAAAAATATATGCTTATCCAAAGTAGGTAAGGGAATATACACAGAATGTTGACACTATCGATCAGTACAATACAATTCCCCTGCCCCACAGAGCTGTTAGCATCACAATTTTAGGCCACCCACAAAAACCACTCACGATCTCATGTTCGACTTCTTGTAGGCTAAATAACCGTCCAAGCTGGAAAGAGGATATTGAAAAACATTCCAACTGATAGCTATGGCCCTATGGCCCCTATACCACCTACAGCTAGCTGTCACATAAAAATTAGTAATTGGTGGAATGCGACTTGACAGTTTGAAATTTGAAGATCCAGTCCCTAATTGTCATTTTTCCTTCAGCTCATAACTTCATTTGCAATGCTCAATGAAGAAATGGCTACTTGCATTACAGAAAAGCTTGCAGGTACGCAGAATCGCATAACCATGTTTGGTCACATGTTTTTAACAGGTATAATGTGTTGGCAAAATCAAGTAAAATTTTCAACAGTCCAATTGACCATTTTTAGTTCACAAATTTTCTTTGAGCAAGCAACAGAGAAATCTTATATGTTAACTGTTAACAAATCAAGGCCAAGAAGACAAAAGAGAGGAACATACCATGTAACATCGCAGCAAGACTTCCTTGACTGTAATAATCATAGACCATAAGCTTCTCATCCTTTGAGTAGTAATACGCTCTTAGCTCGATGACATTCTCATGCTTTATGCTCCCCACCACCCCCATTTGTTGCTCGAACTCCCTTTTTCCAACTCCCACCTCCTTCAGCCTCTTCACCACCACCATGGTTGCATCCTCCAATATTGCCTTGTAAGCAGTACCAAATGTTCCCTTCCCCAACACCTCGGCAGAAGCCCTTAACAAGTCCTCCAAATCGAATGCATAATTACAGCCCTCAAAGAAAACTAATTTATTATTCGCATCTTGACTCCTGGAAATCACTTTCTCCGGTGACATGTTTCCTTTCTCAAGCTTGCCAGGAAAACCATCCTCAATTTTCCTCCTTAACAAGCAAACAAGCAACAGAAAAGCAAAACCTAGAAGCCCCAGAACACTAACAGCAATTATGATTCCAAGCAAAGCCCTCTCACTCAATTTCCCAGTATTCTTAGACTTCAAAATTGGTTCTTTAGGAAGTGAAACAGCAGGAGAGCTAGTAACAGAATACTCCAACAGAGATGCATTGTTTCCAAGAAAAGCAGATTTTGGAAACTTTTGCAAAGATTTAGGCACAGCACCACTGAGATTGTTGTTTGACAAATTGAGTAGCTGCAAATTAGGCAAATTCAGGTCTGGAATTTCTCCCAAAAGTGAATTATTAGCAAGATTTAAAGAACTAAGCTGCCTCAAACTAGAAATAGAAGAGGGAATGCTGCCATTGAACCCATTATTAGAGAAATTAATACCAGTAAGATTTTTCCAAACAGAAAAATCCCGAGGCAGTGGACCTGTGAAGTTGTTAAACTGAAGATAAAGATATGACAGGTTCCTAAGTTTACCCAAGTCCAAAGGGAAAGTTCCATTGATGAAATTGGATCTGAGGCTCAAGATCTGCAATGCTGATAAACGGCTAAGTGTATTTGTTGGAATAGGGCCATGAAAGCCAACCCCGGGTAATCTTAACGATATTACTCTTGAACCATCTTCATTACAGCTCACTCCAGTCCAGTTCTTGCAAACTGGAGAGTCCTCGTCCCAGTTCAAAGACCTCAAATGGGGAAGCTTTTTTTCAAAATCAAGCAATGCTTGCTTGTCATTGTCCACCAGAGTAGCCCTGACGATCCCTTGTGACAGCAAAAACAATGCCGACGAGATTAAAGAGAAAATGTACAATCTTTGTCTCTCCATGTCAAGATTGCTTCTTTGGGTTCAAAGTAAACTATTTCAAAGAACACATTTTTCTGTTTTGATGCATCGATTGAAGCTCCAACAAATGAACGCAGGCAAGGATTAATATAGTAGATGAATAAATAACACAAGAAGAAGTTGAGGAAGTGAGGAAACGAGTCAAATTTCAAGACTGGTGTCGGGGAAAGTGATGTGGGATTCTGGGAATGGGCTTGGAAAAAATTGGAGGCCGCAGGGTTTGAAATAAGGCGTTGGGTCAAAGGGGATATTTTAAAGGAAGATGTCTGGGTTTAGAATCAGAGCTTTTCTTTTTGTTCTTTGCTCTTTTACTTTCGGGTTGAGTGCCAAAACCAAGTATAGGAGAGTACTTTTTCCAGAATGAGAGAGGATAAAAGGCCTGCTTTTCCTCGCGATAAAGAGAGCCATTTTCATTTTTTTGGTGGGAAATCAGACGAAAAAAAGAAAAGAATCCCAAGACCTTAAATTTGTCCTTTTTTTTTTTTTTGGCTTTAATTTAAATCACATGTTTCTACAATTTTTTGAACTCAATCCTTGCCCATGATTTAATTTTTGGCGGTTGTGGGGCTAGGATTTTTCTACTGCTTTTATTTCCTGTCTACACAATTCTTTTGATATTGTGCACCCAATTAGCCGGTTTCTGGACTCCTTTCTGATATAGAATAAAAATCGTTTTCATTTTCGCCTTCAAGATATTAAAACAATCCTAAAGAATATGAAGAATTTAGCTGTAAAACTCAAGAGCTTCAGAACCAGAAAATTTAATGCAATATGACTCGTCAAATTCATGGGTCCTAGGCAACGAGGATAACGTTGGCGCCCTGCAATTAGTCGATTTTGTTAGAAATTTGAAGAGAAGAAAGACATTTACAAAAGGACAGAAGAAGAAAAAATACAAAAGAAATCCTAAACAACAAACATGAAAATGCCTGGTCGGCATATGAAGCATTGAACGGCGAGAACTATGCAGGCTAGAGCCTAGAATAGAAGTAATGGTACAATACGTAAGAGGCATAACCATTCTGCTGAAAATGTAATGGGGCCTGGTGTTTAAGAATCTTGAGATGATGCTGCACAAATTGGACGACTGTAAACGCTGCACGTCTTTAGAACGCAAGAAACTATCGAACGACTATCCATGACATGAATATGATGGTGGCCACATCCTTCTAGTAAAGAATGGTGTAAATCTACGGACACATCATGAAATATTTACGGAGTCATGAACTAGCTTAAGTAAGTTTAAAACCCTGATGATGATAAGAAGAATCATTTTTGACTCGTTGCTTTGACATGAGTAAAATGTAGAAACGTTCTTGGTTGGTAATGATAACACGAAGTTCCCCAGAAAAAAAAAAAATCCACTCTTCAAAGTTTATTTATCTGTCTGTTTTTTAAAAAAATAATCGTCTGCTGCTAAAAGAATCTCTGTACTAGTATTGTGACAGCCATATGAAGCACTAGTAAATTTGATCATCAAAGTACAATAAATAGGTGAAAATTTGGAAGTATCACTTGATGCTGAGGGATAGAGTTAATGGTGGTGCATGTGAAAAAATTAATGTGCCTTGGTATTGGATGGCCATGCAGGGATAAGCTCCGTCCGAGAGCAAAAGCGGGACCGGAATTTATGGCATTTGTTGTCAGTCGGTTTGTTCTGTGTCTTGACTCTTTTATACAGTTATGCTACTACTGGTCAGGAAAGTTGGAGGAAGAAGAAGAAGACTACAAAAACGCATAGGGTGGGGGACTGCCGGATGCAAGAAGAGGATATTTTGACAGCCCAAAAAAAAAAATGTAATGTAATGATGGTGGTAGCTTTAGTGGCTTCCTAGGCCTAATCAGCCATCGATGGGGCGGTTTTGTGGGCGTTGCATAGCACTTTGTCTTCATGCTGGCGTCTTTCTCATATGGATGGATTGGTGTCAATTTGCTGTCCCACTCCCACATGGACATGGCCACCTTAGCTATTACCACCACCCAAACTGCGTCCCGGTCCGGCTCCGTTTTCCTTTTCTTCTGTTTGTTGATCTTTCAATCTTTTCTTTCATGATGAAAAAGAGTTACGATTAGCAAACCCAAGAACCTTTTCCTTAATTTTCTGCATGGTTATTGCTGGTAAGTATGAATGTTTACATCTATCTCTAATCTTTAGACGTAGACATATCAAATCGATCGAGGTCTCATCACAACTTTCCTGAGAAATGAGTCTTTTACATGATTCAGCATGGTAACCTGAAAGATCAATTTTACGATTACAACCCTTTTATGTATTTAATTGATTGATGTGTAGTGTAATTTATCATGGTATCTTTGACTGCTGCTATCATATCATATGTCGCTCGCCAACTTTCTTTACAGCAGTTACTTACTTCCCGACCGACCGAGTTAATTGTAGGATTTGTTTGGCAAAAAAAAATTCCTATATACAGTAAAATTACGAGTTTAAGCTTAGGATGCATTTGATAAAATTGAAATCTAAAATCTGAAGTCTGAATCCATTAAGTTATTGATCTGTTAAATATTAAATCTAATACATTTGAGTGCATATCATATTCAGTGATAAGTGAATAGCTTATCACTTAATTTTGGGAGCAAGTTCTGTCTAGAAAGTTCAGTGCTACTTAATTAATCCAGATATTCAATTTTTGGTTATCAAACGGTCCGAATCCATTAAGTTTAAGTGTTAAATTGACTTATCAAACAGCAGGGCCATATTTTATTTAGAAGTTGTAATCCTCGCAAGTCGCATCATTTTTATTTTATCTAGAGCACATTTTTTTTGTGTCCATACTCGTAAAAAGGTTGTACATTTGATTACTCGCAACAAAAAACAAACGTTTTGGTTTACAAAAATATTAGCAAAAGATCAATACAGCTTAGCTTCACAATCAAGTACTAAGTGTTGTTTGTCATCATTCCAGTGAATTATATGATCGTCCATGTGCCTCAAATCCCTATTATTATCGTCAGTGTTGGTTGGTATGAGTACCTAATGATGATAAAACCCAAAAAAAAAAAAAAGAGAAAAAGAAGCTAACAAAGTTGAGTCCATGGTTGACAAAAACTTTTTTGAAATCATGGCTAATTGACACTTGTATCAATTCTGGGGAAAGAAAGATATTCGCGTAAGATCCGTTTTCTCTATTCAGCAATTCTGGTTATATTTTTCTGGTGTTAATTATTAGAGCGAAGATACATTTTTCACGGATTTACTAAAATGCTTTGGGCATAAATCATCTGACTTCAACTTAATTTTACTTTAAATTAGTACAGAGACCTGGCTTTGAGTACTAGCGGACATGCGTATATAATTAATAAAATAAAAAGGCACATATCCCACGCGGTGACGGAACCAAAAATAATTTCCAGTAGTGAGGGCAAAAACAAATTGTAATTTTTTCTTGGCTTCGAAATGTAGTACATAATGATAATGTTCGCATAAAAGAACTATCCAATCTGTTTTGTTTATAATACAACACAAAATAGCATACTTTAATTTATTAACAACATAATAAATTTCTTCCAAAAGAAAAACTTTTTTATCGCTGCTAACCGACTTGCGGTTTTTTTTTTTTTTTTAAAAAAGAGTCACCTGCTGTTTTATTGCAATGGCCACATCTAACTTTATTATTTAACCTAAGCAACGCAATTACTCTTGTTCTATACATTATTAGATAATAATGTCGTTTTCCTTTTGTTGAAAAATCCAAGTAAGTTTTTTTAATAATGTAAAAGGCCTTTGATTTTGAGTTTTGTAACATGCCAAATTCCTTTAAATCACAAAACCAATGATTTTTATAACAATTTTGAGAGTTTCTCAAAATTTTTAGGTATTAGTGGAATTATGCCCCCATTGTAGATTCACCATTGATGGTCTTTTTCAGTTAAAAAAAAAAATTCCATCTAATTACTTTACAAATTCGACCTACTATTTTGCAGCGTTTGATTGCTATATTATGCTACAAAAAAAATTCGAAACCAAATACTATTTAGGTTAAAATAACAAAAATATACTCATTTAGGTTTAGAAAAGGGAAAAAAATTCCATCACACCAGCAAAGCTCAATATATATTAAAAAGAAGAAACCTTCACCAACAATCAGAGTGGCGCAGCGGAAGCGTGGTGGGCCCATAACCCACAGGTCCCAGGATCGAAACCTGGCTCTGATACATAGAGTAGCTTCCACGGTTCCACCTATTCATTTTTTGTCGATTCAGTTTTCGCATTCTTCCAGAGGCCACTTCATTGTCTCTTCAAACTTTTTTGGCTTTCAAGAAAATCTCTTCAATTCACCAAACAAATTATTATACAGAAAACAAGCAACTACGAGATATAAAATCTTTAAGATCAAGCATACAACCAAGCCTTTCATCTTCACGGACCATTTCATGGAGTCAATTTCTTGGATTGGATCAATCCACATACATCTTAGGGGGAAATATGGTACAAATAAATTTCCCCCGTCATATTACGGGTTATTTAACAAACTCACCAGTCATATCTACCTGACAATGTTTTCAAAGTCATAATCATGAAATTACTATCGATCATGACTTCAGAGGTAACAAGTACAAGTTGCCACCAGCTGAGAAACCACAAGTCAGTTACTAATCAGTGTCCTCCTATCACTTCAGTTTTTCCAGGACAAAATTGAGAAGATCGCAAATGGCTCCAATCTGTTAAATTGATGCCACAACAGACAAGTCCAGTCGGCCTGTCCATTCCTCGCCTGGCTTCAAAGTGACTGGTTTCTCAATTGCAGCCCCATCTACGCAAAGCATCTGTTTGTACTCCTCGTCCCCAAGATCCACTGTGGCTTTTGATTTCTTCTCCCATGGATTCCAAACCACTGTGATCATTGGAAGAATGCAACAGATTAATGCCAATTGGCCCTACTCTAAACCAGGACCTCAACGGATATTGTAGACGACTCCTCCAAGAATTTAGAATTGACACGACAATGAACAGCAACGACGACGCATCATCGATGAGTATGGACATAAGCTCAAGACTAGCTATACTTTCTTTAGCAGGTGTTTCCAAATTCTATTATCCCTAAGATGCTTGTGGCCGCTTCTGCCATATAGTTCTTTGGTGTGTATCAAGAGAAAGATGAGGAAGCAAAGGTTCCTTTAAATGCCTAAGAGATAAAAGCACATATACCATACACATGGAATTTCAAGAATTCGTATTGAATGAAAATCCCAATTTGTGATTCTTACGCAATGATCCCACATGCTGCTTCTCAGATATAAATCACAAGGGGAAGTGGTGCTCACCTACGTCAGGTAGCCCTTCCTTCCTTATGAGAAAGGTCCGCTTTTTCTGGTGATCGAAGACTGCTATAACATCCGAAGAACTGAGATATACTCTATCAACCTGCACACGAGATAACCTCAAAACGATATTTGCAGCAAATTTGATACCAAAGGCATGCAGCCCTGCTGA